AACTGGTCAATGGAAGATGTTGGGTGATTCCATTGTCCAAATATATAGGTATTGGTTGGTATTGGTCGTTGGTCGATGCAGGTTTACCTTGTCTCATCTGGACCTGAAGTCGGTGATGCTTTGCTGGCTCTAGATACTGTGCCGCCACTCCCAAACATGGAAGAACTGCGAGGTGGAGCTAAAAGTATTTGGAAGAAGCTACCATACACAGCTCGAAAATTGAGCAGCATGCCCGCAGGCCCAAAGCTGCAGAAAGATGCCTGGATTCCTCCTCATTTTCCCAGTGGGTCGTCCATTTGGCAGAGCTTGCTGCTTGAGACATTGCTGCCCACCCTACATCAGGGCGAGGAGACAGCCATATCATGCCATATGGGTTCATAACCCGCAATGTCGCACAAGTTCAAAGCAAGCAGATGTCTTTTCTACGCCCTTCGGACCACATTGTGAGCGCGGCACCCCGCATGGCCGCTTGGCGCCGCTTGGAGCCATGAGCCATCGTGCCTGACGCCATGCCCGAGCGGAGAGAGAAGAAGCGCCTCTTGGCACCGGTCCAGTTCCATGTCACCTCCAGTCGTAGCAGTTTTGGACCCTCCAGTTTTGGACCCAGCCCACCTCAGTCCCACCTTCGGTTTCGGTGAAACGACGGTACGACTGGAGGCCTAGGCTAGGGGTGTTCTTCAGAATTTCTGGACCCCAAGAGATCCTTGGACCGGACCTCTTTTCTGAGGCCTCGATACAGCCCTTTCCAGACCCGAAGAATTCAAGGAGTTTTGGGCCGAACTTGCAGATGTTGGGTGACCGGTTCTGACTGCAGGGTGAGAGGGGGGGGTTGAGAAACCACTGTCTCCGAGAGGGGCATGGTGTCGAAAGAGTTTGGGTGTGTTTTTTCGTTGATATGTTCCCCCCCTAGCCTTCCAGCATTGAAAGAAAGGTTCACCTGTGGTAGTCTAAGACCCGTAGTACAACGATGGTTCTTTGGTAATTAAAAGCCTATTACACCATGGTTGTTTAAGGGCTATGATATGTCAACAGAGTACACGGCGGATGATGGTTTTCTTGGGCTCTACAACGTCCAAGTCCAAGTCGATCGGTCAGCCTTGGGCAATGGCCTGAAGCAGAAGGGGTTGCTTCGGGTCGAGTCCGGGTCCGTTCGCAACCGCCGCTGACTTCCGCAAGTTGGGTCGGACCATGTCCAGGTGTGTTCAACGTCTCCAAGTTCGCCACCAGAGGTACCATAAGACCCACAGCCACTGGAGAAGCGATGTTTCGTGACAAGACATGACAAATACTGTAGTGTTTCAGGTCTACAGGTAGGGATGAGGAATTCCATTAGCATTCCTGGGACGCTTGCCCACGGTCGGTGCTGACCTTACGCTCAAAGCGGCTTTTTGAATGCGCCGTGGTGGACCCCCTGCCCACTGGACTCACTGCTCTAAATACTTGGGTTTGTTGTAACTTTTTTGGTACCTGGACCATCCAATGGACATGTCCAACAGTAGTCGTGTAGGGAGTCTCCATTTGTTCGACTCATTGGATGGACCTGGTGTGATCAACTCCACGAGAAACGTCACAGGCCATTCCCTGTCCGATGCCCTGACCTCCGTGAGGTGCGGTTTTTGACGACGGTCGGTGGCGTGGACGAAGCATGTTCTGGTGACGTGTGCGGTGTTCTGAGAAGACATTCATGAGTCTTCAGCTTCCTTGGCCAAGAAAGCAGAACAAGTTGCCAGTCAACCAGCGCCCACAGCCCCTGTTGACCCTCACTTGCATTCTTCCGCGTCCGTTTTGGGGCAAGTCCAACTCAGGCTTCCCAAGAATTTGGAATCGGTTTGAACATCCCCGTCCATTGTCCTATGATGCCCTATGTCAGCCGTCTTTGTCTTCCGATCCCCATGATGTACCGTGCACATCCGTGCAGGGCTTCTTCGTCTCAAAACCTCTCTGAAACCGGCGCACGTTCTGACCCGGTCGAAACCGCTTCGGGTCGTCCTTTCGCGGTGAAACACCGGTCGAAGGTGTGTCAAATGGTGGTTCCGTTCGGTTCGCGATGCCAGGAGCCCCGATCGTAGCGCTAGTAGCGTCCTTGTTCCGTTCGTAGCTTGTGTCGGGTTTGGACCTGAGTCAGACTTGCAGAGACAGCTTAAAGCATACCGATTAATTAAGTGATTGGCAAACTGGTGCACATGCCTGGACCATCCAAGGGTGTGTCCAATAGATTACCCAGCCCTGGCTCACTACTATCTCCAGGTATCTCCAGGTCCTGGATGGTCCAGACTGTGTGCTAGGCTACAACAGACCACGCGAAGAAGTCGCCAGTCACACACCGGAACCTGAGAATAGGACTGGTGTGCCGGGAACCCAAGACGAGCAAATGCTGTGGGATGAACATCTAGAGTCCCAAACCACATCTATGTCCCAATCATATGAACTCACATTGTTGCAGTTTAGATTTTTGCACCTGACGCAGGGCCCTTTGAGCGGTTCAAAACAAGTTTGGCATCGGAGCCTGTTTTCCGGAGCCATTTCGCCTGGCTGCCTGCGCCGTTGGTGGCGCGCTGGACCTGACCTCCAGCTTTCGGCACGGTGGTCACGACGACGTCGTGTTCTACCTCCTCCGTGCGAGCCACGCCGTTCGTAAGCCGTGGCTCAGTGGCTAGCTGGATTTCCTTGATCTGGCTGGCGGCTTTCACCTGTCTCACTGACATCTCCGGCTACCAGGAGGTGAAGCTCGAGCACCTTGACTCGATCCACTACCAGCTGAACACGGACATTGAGGTCCCTCTCTTCACCTTCCTGGCAGCGATCCTGGGCCCTGAGGAGTACACTTGCTTGCATACGCCTCCGAATGGGATCTGAGGTACGATGAAGCTCAAACTCGAGCAGGCCTTGACATCAACCCGGTTGCCAAGACCTACCTGTGGTTTCGCAACTCAGGCCTGCCGAACAAGTTCATCGAGGATGTGAAGCTCCAGATCCAAGGAGACATGTCTCGTTTTGCTGAGGCCAAACGTCTTGCCCTCCGACTCAGTCAACGTGGTGAGAACTCCACCTTCTCCACCGACCTGTACGGCACTGTGGACGAGCCCTACGAAGACTACCACACCACGGATGACTGGTCTTCATGGCATGAGCCTTGGCAGGAGACATGGTATGCCGATGAGTGGGCCGATGACGACCTCTACACCTGCCTCCTCATCCGATCAGAACGAAGATGCTTACTATGGCAAAGGAGGAAAAGGTGGCAGCGGTGGATGTCATGTTTGTGGCTCCAAGTGGCATCATGCTGCACAGTGCCCCGTCAAGACTGGCTCTCGTGAGTTCGGCAAGAGCAAGGGCAAGGGCAAGTTCAAGTCAAGACCTCCATGGCGGCATGGCGCTCCAAAGGAAAGGGCAAGTGGTCTTCAGGCAAAGGCTACAAAGGAAAGAAGGGCAAAGGCAAAAGCAAGGGCTACAACTATGATCCACAGGGCTACATGGTCGACCGTGATGCCATGGCTTACTTTCGTCAACAGCCTGGCAATGGCCTACGTGTTGAAGACCCGGTGACACCTACACGCCCTGTGAATCCTTCTTCATCCCTGAAGATGACGCCTCCAGACAAAGAAGCTGGTCATGACCCTTTATCTGGAGAGGCCTTTGCAGAAGTTCCACCTCAGAAGAACTTGACCTTCGCCACCTATGTCAACAACACCAATGTTGAGCACCCATGCTACCACCACTCCGTGAAGGGCAAGAAGCGAAGAGGTTTGTTGATCGACCCTGGAGCCGCTGCTGGACTTGTCGGTTCAGAGACCCTCCGTGACCTCATTGAGAGCTGCTACCCTGAGGACGGCAAGAACATGGTCACCTGGAGTGAATCCACTGCCACGATCACTGGCATCAGCGGCTGTCCTGACAAGGCCTTGGGTCGAGTTCACCTTCGCCTACCCTTGAAGGTTTTGAAAGCGGTCTACGAGGCCGATGTGATTGACAATGAAGGCTCACTATGTCCTGCACTATGTGGCAATCCAGCCCTATGCGCCATGAAAGCTTCGCTTCACTCATCCTGGTTTGACAACCAAGATGGTCTTTTGGTCACTGGGATACGCAGAGCCAGAACACACCTGTGATGTATGCTTTTCGAGTCCTTCTCACTGACTCAGGCCACTATTTGCCTCCGCTGGACAAGGACACCAGCCTGAAGAGCCAAGACCTGCAGATCTGTCATTTCATCAAGCAGCTCTCGGAAGTGTCCCATCGTCAGTGGCCCGATCATGCATACACCTTCTGGCAAAGTGCAGTTCGCACGGCAATCCCAGAGCAGAAGCGGAGTTGCCTCGAGAGGACCTATCACTCCGTTCCTTTTGAGGTTGAATCCAAAGATCCAAGAGCTACTGCGCAGCAGACCTTATGCTCCACGACACCTGAGGCTGAGATCAAGAACCACGACATTTTGACCTCACGCTCCACAACCGTTGAGGAGAAGATCAAAGACCAAGGCATTGACACATCATGCTCTGCGTCCCCTGAGGCGGAGATCCATGACCACAGCGTGAACACTTCATGTTCCACGTCCCCTGAGGCCGAGATCCATGACCACAGCATGAATACCTCGTGTTCTACAATCCCTGAGGAGACTTTCAATGACCATGGCAAAGATACTTCATGCTCAACAACCACTGATGTTTTCCTGGCAGATGCACTAATCGACCTGCCGCTCTACAGGAGATCTTCTTCCAAACTACCTCACACCTGAGGAGCAAAAGAAGTTTACCAAGGACTACAAGGCTATGCCTGAGGAGTTCTACACCCACACCAATCGAAGAATGGTCACGCCGTCTTCCTTTTCCAACTGGTTCAGTGAAGCCAAGAAGAAGACGAAGTGGCATGTGTGGGAATGGTGTTCAGGAAGCTCGAGATTGAGTTTGACCTGTTGCCTGGCAGGTCTGATCGTTGGCTTCCAGGTCGACTTCCGCTACGGCTGGGACATCGGCAATCCTGAACACCAGAAGATGCTTGACATGGCTCTTACCACCTTCGAGCCAGAGATCCTCATGCATCACCTCGCTGCAAGTTCTGGAGTATTTCTGCATCTCGCCGAGATCGACATCTTCTTCTACAAGATCGTGAGGCAGAAAGACCAGCTCTGACCTACATGCAGCAGGTCATGAGTTACCAGGTCTCTTCAGGAAGAGCCTATGTGCTGGAGCAACCTTGGACTTCAGCAATGTAGTCCGAATCAGTGATGGTCCGCAACCAGGACTTTCCTTGCTGGCGCAAACCGCGCCTCGCTGATCAGTGGATGAGAATTCCTGTGAAGAAATCCACTGGCTTGGAGTCCAACATCAAGCTCAAGATGGTCATTCGACGTTGCAATGGACATCATGGCCAAGCACATGCTGCACTTCAGGGACAACACAATGGAGTGAACCGCACGGCCATGGCTGCGGTATATCCTTCTGGATTCTGTCGCGCATTGCTCCAAGACTTCCTGAAGCACATCCAGCCCAAAGGACTCCTTCGCTCAAGACATCGCGATGCCTGGCAGACCCTGCGCACCTACTACAAGTGTGAACGCTGCGAGCTTGGTCGTGCTGCAACTGCTGACATGCAGCATTCCTTCATCCCTGGTGAATGCAGGTATGGCAGGATTCCCAAGACAGCTGAATCATCGCCTTCTACCAAAAGGCAGCAAGAAACCACAAAGGTTTGAAGGAGGTCGCCTTGACAGTTCCCGTCGGCCAGAAGAGGTTGTCTACCTCAAGCATCTGCCCTGCACCCTCATCGAGCAGAGCATGGTTTTCTTCGAAGAGGCTGACGGCACGGGCTACCAGTATTGGATTGATGATCCAATTTTGCTCTCCATCATCCGCACCTGTCTGAAGAAGGTGATGTACATCCATGGCGTGCATATCGCACTACATCCATTCGTCAAGCCTTTTCCAGAACCGCCAGAACCCAAGCTCTCGGCAGCAGCAGCTCCTCTGCGGCTGATCTTCAGAGGCGAGTTCAAGAACTGGACCATGCACGATCTCGAAGACCTCCGAGAACTGTCACCTGCCCAACAACGAGCGCCTGTGGAAGAGGAGAACTGGATGATCACCATGTTTGGTGCCCCTGAAGCACCACAGACTGGCAAGGCACCCAAGACTCCAAAGACAGCAACAAAGACTTCAGCACCGTCTACTCCAGTGCCAATGACACCGGCACCAGCTACTCCTGGAGTTGGCGCTGCCCCTCGCACACCGGCACTTCACGCAGTACAAGATCCACCTCATGCATCACAAGACCCTGAACAGGCTGGAGGAGAGTCTGTTCATGAGAGAAAGGATGAACAATCTCTACCAGATGCTCCATATGAGGACATCAGCATGGAGTTGCCTCACGCCAGAACGCTGAAGCCTTTGTACTCGATGAAGCGTGTTCTTCAACGTCTTCCTGATGCAGTGAAGACCGCACCTGCTACGGCCAAGCGACTCCTTCTTGGCTTACATGAGAAGCTATGGCATGCGACCGCCCGAGACTTTGCAAGCCTCCTACTCAAAGCTGGCATGCCTCCTGAAGTCATTGAGATGTCCGCTGAAGCTGTGGCCTCTTGCGGTATTTGTCGCCGCTACTCTCGCCTACCAGCTCGTCCTCGCACCAAGGTCTCTTTGGCCGCACACTTTGGAGACGAAGTTGAGATGGACATCTTCTTCCTGTGGGACAAGGCCTTTTGTCTCATGGTGGATGTAGCAACTCGCTACAAGGTTGCCTTCCTCATGCCAAGCCGTGATGCTGAAGATCTTCTACCTGGCATCTATGCCAACTGGGTCCGCTTCTTTGGGCCAATGCGAGTTCTCACAAGTGATCAAGAGCCCGCTTTGATGTCATCAGCAGTGGCAATCGAATGTGAGAGATTGGGCATCACTCGCAATCCCAAAGGAACCACCGCTGGAGAAGCTGGCAAGCAGCACACTGGCACTGGCTTGATCGAGCGACACGTCGAGCTCATCAAGCTGACTATGAGGAAGATGAAAGCTGAATGTGAGAGACAAGGCCTAAAGTGTGAGGACGACGACATCAGCATGGAAGCTGCAATGAGCCACAACCTGTGCCCCACCTATGGCGGCTACTCTCCTGCAATGGCCGTTTTTGGAGTCCTTCCACGCTCTCTCTATGAGTTCGAGTCCGATACCTTGACAGCAGTGCGTGGAGCCTTGGACCGTGACCTTTCAGTGTTTGAGAGTGCTATGAGGCTTCGCCAGATCTCTTTGGTGGCCATCCAGCAGGCGATTGCTGAGGATCGCATTGGCAAGAGCCTCCAGGTCACGACCTCACAAGGTGCAGACGTCCGAGATGACACCTGGAGTCTCCCAGATCGAGATCTACAGGGACAATTGCTGGCGAGGACCTGCAACTCTGCTGGAAGTCAATGAGGACGAAGGAACTTCAGTTGTGAAGCACCAAGGACGACCTTATCTACTACCACTTCGCTTCGTGCGTCCTTTCCGAGGTGTGTTCTTCAACATGGACACCACCAATGAGGAGATCTACAAGACCATGCAATTGGTGGAAGAATCAAATCCCTATGTCCAGCACTTCCTCGGTTACAAGCTCACTCTGAGTTCCTCAGGACACACCTGGTTGAAGAGTCCTTCTACACCCTCAACAGCACAAGAGAAGTGCTTGACTTCATTCTCTCAATGGTCCAGCTGGCTTCAACATCCTGTACATGCTTTGCTGTATGGACAGGCACTTCATACACTTCGTCCACCTTCATCCACGAGAGGTACCATTCTGATTTGGTTGAAGAACACCACGGACTATGTGAAGGTGGCCAAGATGGATGATTGTCCCATGAAGCTGAAGAAGTCCTACTACCAGCACTGGGAGAGCATGTGTGTGCTCTACTTCATGTACTTTCCGCTCAGCATTCAAGAGGAGCCACCTCCTGTTTTGCCTCAAGCACCACAAGCACCAATGGATGTGGCACCAGCTCCGCTACCACCACCAGAAGACATGGAGATTGAGTCCACTCTGCCCATTGTTCCGTCCAAGCGCCATGTCCCAGAAAGCAGATCTCCAAGCATGCATCCAGAGAAGAGGACGAGTTCCTGGTCTCCTTTGACACCTACCAGAACCTCCACGCAATTCAATGGATGCTGGATCGCCAACGACATCATCGAGTGCATTTCTCAGATGTCTGGGACGAGATGATGCGCGTTCCCTGGTATACCAATCTCACCATGGAGAATGTCATCTACCACTCCAAGTCTCGCCATCTGGCAGTGCAGCAACAGCATGCAAAGCCTTTGGTTCATCAACCAAGCTACAAGCTGCGCTACTACTACCTCGACTTGGCACATGGTGGAAGTTTTCACTCCCTGGCCGAGGACAACAGCGTGAAAGAGGAGGACTTGGCAGAGATTTGGGAACAGGTGGAGGAAGCTGATGCCAAAGAACTTGCACAGTTCGTGCAAGAGAAAGCCTTCGTCAAGATCAAGCTCCATGAGGTTCCTGACGGCACCGTCATTATCGATGGAGTGTGGGTCCGTGTTTGGAAGATCAAGCAAGGCAAGAAGATCCTCAAAAGCCGCATGTGCGCCCGCGGCTGCTTCGACCCGCAGAAGGCTGAGCTAAGCACTCTGCAGATCCACTACGGCAAGTCGCCTTTCCCAGCGGCTCCTGCTCTCGACTGCAGCAGTGATGGGCACATGTCCTGAAAGCTGGGATGTGAGTGGCGCATTCTTGAAGGGCCTCACCTTTGATCGCATCAGAGAGCTTCTACTCAAGCAAGGCATCAAGACGCCTGTACGCTCAGTTGTTGTCATCCCTCCATACAACTGTTGGCGCCGTTTGGCCAAAGAGGATGCATCTTTTTCTGTGGCACCTCATGAGATTCCACAGTATGGACTATGGTGCCTGAAGCCCGTCTACGGCCTGAATGATGCACCTGTGGCTTGGCAGTTGAGCCTTGGCAAGTTTCTCAAGAAGCACAAAGGTGTTCCCAGTCATTTGGATGACAGCTTCTACCACTGGAAGAATCCGAAGGCCTCACCATCTTTACAGGCAGTCCTCACAACTCATGTTGATGATTTGGCAGTGGTTGGCTCTCCGACTTTCCTCAACCAGCTCTGTGGCGACATGTGTAAAGAATTTGGAAAGATCACCAAGGATTGCCTGCCATTTGCACACTGTGGCTGCCGCTACTCCAAGACCGAGACAGGCCTGAAGATGGATCAAGCTGATTTTGCATCAAGGCTGCGACCAGTTGATGATCCACCTGGAGCTGACGACCGCAAGTTGACACCTGCTGAAATCACCCAGTTCCGATCGGTGATTGGTGGATTGATGTGGCTTTGTTCATCCAGGATGGATGTAATCGCAGACACTGGAGTTTTGCAGTCAGCTGTTCCTGATGCACGAGTTCACCACCTACGACAGGCAAACCAGCTGGTAAAGAAGTTTTGCGCTGATGACCGCAAGGAGCTTGGTTTGCACTATCGTTTCTTTCCTCCTGGCACCAGGTTGAGATTGCAGCGCATTCACGATGCAGCATCTGCACCAAAAGGACGTTGCTATGCCCAGGAAGGAATTTTGGTGCTCGTCATGCCTGAGCTTCCCCAGCAGATCCTCCGTCAAGATGAGCTGCAGTGCACTTCTGAAGATGTCAGCACCTTGTCAAGTTTTGGTCATCTTTTGTATGCTCATGGGGGTAAGTCTAAGAGGGTGTCAAACTCCACCTCTCACTCAGAGACTCTAGCGGGGGTGAATGGTTTGGAAGCTCCATGGTCTCCACCCGGCTGACAGAGCTTTGGATGCCTGATGTTGCGCCCAGCTTGAAGCAGCTGACAGAAGCCCAAGAGAGTGGCTCAGCGCTGTTTCCCGTCGACTTCATGACGGACTGCCGCGACTTCTTCGAGCTGACCACCGGCGCGAAGGCAGTGCCCCAAGACAAACAGCAGCGCTTGTACGTGCTCGCCTACAAGGAAGCTCGAGTGTCCGGCAGGGCACGCTATGTGATGCTGATCCCAACGGCATCCATGCTGGCAGACTGTCTGACGAAGCCGATGTTGGCTCCGCAGATGATGCAGTTTTTGAGTTCAGGATTTGTGGAGGTGTGGAATGAGCTGAAGCACTTCATCCAGCTTCGACGGCTACCAGTCCTACAAGAGTTGACTGAGGCCGACCTCTACAAGAGCGATGAGGAGATCAAGAAGCAGATCCACAATGGAGCACAGAAGGTCACGATGACCATGGTGGCAGGCTTTGCAACAAAGCCTTGGAAGTGGATGATGATGGCCGCAATGGTCAGTGGGGTGAATGGCCAGCCAGATCAGGAGAAGGTTCAGGACAACCTCCAGGACTGGATCTTCTTTGGCATCATCTTCTGCTCCTACGTGTTCCTCCGAGCTGTGGAAGTTCATCAAGTGGCTGAATCGGCCCTGAGAGAAGCCAAAGGAATTCCACAAGAAGAAGCCCGAACAGGACACACCAAAGAGAAAGAGCAGCACCAGCTCAGAGAGCTCAGAGCCAGGGCTCGGACCCTCAGCCCGGCGGCTGAATCTTGACATGCCGACGATGGTGTCGGCTGAGTACGATAGAGTTTGGGTCACCGACAAGAGTGGCACTTGTTTTCATGTTTCGCCTGACTGTCCCAGGATCAGGCACGCTGCGGTGTCGGTAAAACGCCGATGCAAGAACTGTGGCACGACCAAAGCCCAGAGCAGCAGCGGAGTTTAGATTTTTGCACCTGACGCAGGGCCCTTTGAGCGTTTCAAAACAAGTGTTGCACCATGTCTCGCAGGGGCATTCAGAATTACGTCTTTCTCGCGCTGGCACAACGTCTCCATGTCTTGCAGGCCGGGTAGCGTGCCGGTGCTGCCTCCCTCCGCCCCGGTGCGGACCACGTGACTTGGAGAGACGGAGAGCGCTCGGTGAGGCGAACGATTCGTTCGACGACGGTCAATTGACTATAATCAAGGGTCTACTACTTTGTAAAGGGATACTGTATCCTTAAAAAAACCAGCAGTCCTAAGTCCTAAGCAGCTGTTTGCGAGGTAATCACGGCAACTGGATTGGACCGAAAACGCGCATTCCCCCAACGATCTGCCACAAATCAATTTGCTTGAGAGTGCACGTCTAGCTGGCCGCAAATTCCACGAGGAATGACGCCCGAATCTCGCCTAGGAGCCGCCGCAGTAGCGCCAGCAGCCGCGGCTCCGCGCCCACGGCCAGCGGCCGCGGGGCCCGGAGCAAGGTGAAGAGCGCGGAAGGCCGCGGTGAAGGCGCGGCTTTTTGCGGGGAGCCGGCCCGACCCCGTTCGGTTTTGGCCGCGCCCTCAAAACGAATTCTTCGGATGGATCGATGATGTTCCAAATGTTGTTTGATTCTTTCTCGATGTTTATTCCCTCAGTTTTTTCCGGTGTTCTTCCACGAACTCGGATGCAGCTCGGTGTCAAAC